GTTAATGTCGTTTCAGCGAAATTGCTGATCGTTGGATGGTCAGTCCCTTTGAGTATGGGCATGTAAATAGGTGGAGGTTCCTCATTTGGATTAAGGCGTCACAGTAAGTCATGAATTTAAAACGACAGCGCATTTTCCCGTGGTCGTCGCACGTAGTTCCGGATCCTTATGGACAATTTTCAGAGCCTTTGTCGGTGTAGCGGTAAATAATTCCCCAAATTTATTAACCATAGCAATCATCACTGAACAGTGGATGCTGACCCTTAGTGTTTAAGTCGACCTGTTTAGCTGAAGGCTTCCGGCCATGCATCCTCGCCATTTGGTACTCCATCGTGTCATGTTCGTGCGCGATCACTAGCCAGCTGAGCGTTCGTCTAACGACTCGTTTCGGTCCCGAAATATATCTCGTAATTTGGACAACCAATCCCGTCGTTTCGCTTTGCCTTTGGTCCACAAGAAACGAATACAACAGAAGTTGTTGGTATAAGATCATGCGCTAGTATATTCCGCACAAATCACAAACATCAATACCGTCAGCATCTAAACTGGTAAGCCCAACCGCGAACTCCATCTTCGATAAATATGCAGAAAACCTCGGTGAGTTCGTTCCTTTTTGTATTTGTTCTTGTACCATATTGTAATCGGTATGCGTTTCATCATGAGTGATCCTAGTCCCAAGGTCATTCATATTCGCCCAACTGCCAAAACCATTCAGCTCATACCATACAGGCCAGATAATGCTGAAACGTCGTTAGAGATAGCTGGGTCTGATTTTTATGAGTATGGGATAACCGGTCAACGTTCGCAGTTCCTCGCAGTTACTCACACCCCACCGCGGGAATTCAGCAAGTGCGTAACTCTGCAGATGTTGAGTTCCGAGGTAAGTAGCTCGTATGAGTTGCTCAAAGCATCCCTCCTCAGGAGAAACGTTCTCACAGATCGACAGCGTCTGGACGAATTATCTCGTAACACTGAGTTAGGGCATTAGTCAGCCGTAAGCATGCTAACAAGAATAAGAGAGGTTATTGGCCAAAGTCATTTCGATGAAGGACTTTTCAAAGAACTCTTCTTGTCCAAGCTGCCACAGCCCGTGCAGACTGCACTTGTGACACTTCAGGGTGTTATGATAGATGACTTAGCTATTTCTGCAGATAAGATTCTAGAAATAACTAAAAAGCCAGTTCCTGAAATACGCTCGGTGGCCAAGCAGACTTCGAGTAAGCATACTGCAATGATAGAGTTATGCAACTCCATCCAGCAAATGTTTAGGTCAAACATGCCCTCTAACTCCTCCGACCGTCGTCCTAAATCCTTTCAATGGCGAAACTCACGTGGTCGATCCAAGTCCAAGCCACGTTCACTGAAAAACCCTGACTGGTGCTAGTACCACAACACCTACGGCCAAGCAGCGAAAAGTTGCCGCAAGCCTTATAACTTTAGAAATGTCTCAAAGTCTTTGGGAAACTATCCGCCGGCACGCGTTAGCGGCAACCATCGCCGGTGGAACTAGCCGCCTACTATGCATCCATGATGTGATCAGCCGGACTCGATATTTAGCCGACACAGGCGTCCTTCCTGCTACAGCAGCAGGTTGACGGAAGGAGCCTACCTTCATATTACAGGCTGCAGATGGAAAAGCAATTGCAACTTTTGGTAGGGAATATGTCTATCTGAACGTAGGTTTACGCAAACCTATTCAGTGGACTTTCCTTCTCGCTGACGTCACAATGCCCATCATTCGCACGGACCTACTTAATCATCATGATTTACCCGTAGACGTCCGCCGAAAACGACTGATTGATGATACTACTAGTCTGTCTATCAAAGGCATCACCTACACAGGCCTCAGCTTGTCACTCGTTGAGATAAAGGCAATCCTTGATCCAACTTCCCGACCGATCACTGATAAATATCCGGAACTTAATTCCCCGTCTAACGACCTACCGTGCATAACCAGCAATGTTATGCACCACATCATAACCTCAGGACAGCCCGTGACATCTAGATCACGATGACTTGCTCCCAACAAACTGAGAATCGCTAAAAATCGAGTTCGACCATATGCTCACCCTGGGCATCATTCGATCCTCGAATAGCCCATGGGAATCCCACTGCATATGGTACCGAAAAAGGATAGCAATGATTGGCGACCCACCGGCGATTACCGGCGAATGAATGCCAAAACAACCCCTAATTGCTACCCATTGCCTCATATACACGACTTGACGGCAACATTATCTGGCGCAGCTATATTCTCTAAAATCGACTCAGTCAAAGCGTATAACCAAGTCCCGATGGCGACAGAAGATATTCCGAAAACGGCTATCATTACGCCTTTCTGAATTTTCGAATTTCGACATATGCCATTCGGTCCCCGGAATGCAGGGCAAACATTCCAACGCTTCATCGACGAAGTACTTTGCGGCCTCAACTTTGTATACGCGTACTTAGACGACTGCCTCATTGCCAGTCCAGACAAGGAAACTCACCTTAGACACTTGAACTTGGCATTTGAAAGGTTACGCCTACATGGTGTTATCATCAATATTCAAAAGTGTCAAATAGGCGTTGACTCACTCGACTTCCTGTGTCACACTATTGACTGCGAGAGTATTCGCCTATCGACTAGTATTGTTGAGGCGATACTGAACTTTCCAGAGCAACGGACAGTGAAAGGTCTGCACACTTTCACCGGCTTGGTAAGTTATTATCGACGATTTATTCCCAACTGTGCCTCTTTGATTCAGCCATTGACAGACCTTCTTCGAGGGAATAACAAGTCTATCGAACTTGACGCATCTGCTCGAAGTGCTTTTACTCAGGTTAAAAAAGCTATTGCGAATGCCACACTTCTGATGTATCAGGATCCAACAGCACCGTTAAGTATCTCGGCTGATGCATCAGACACTGCAATCGGCACAGTTCTACAACAGCTAGTTGACAAACAGTGGCAACCAATAGCCTTTTTCTCCAGGCGCCTTCAATTAGCTGAAACGCGGTATAGCACATTCGGCAGAGAACAACTGACTATGTACTGTGCTATACGTCATTTTCGACATTCAGTAGAGGGTCGTGAATTCGTAATTTTTACTGATCACAAACCTCTGGCGTACTCTTTGAACTCACCTCCAGATAAGTATTCACCCAGGGAATCACGACAACTAGATCACATTTCACAAGTTACATCAGATATTCGCCATGTATCTGGAGTAGACAACACTGTGCCAGACGCCTTGTCGCGCGTTTGTTCCCTCACCCAAATCGACCGCATAAACCTCGTAAAACTGACTCGTCTTCAAAAAGAAGATACCGAGCTTCAACATGAGTTGTCGAAAACAACTCTACAATTAGCTGAGAAACCCTTAGGTATGGGAAGAGATACTATTCTATGCGACATTTCCACGAGTACTCCTCGACCCATCGCGCCCAAAAGTTAACGCCGTAACGTCTTCAATACGTTGCATGGCTTATCCCACCCGGGTATTCAAACTACCGTCAAGCTCGTAACTATTCGGTTTTGTTGTCCTGTTATTCATGAAGAAGTAAGGGAATAGGCACACACGTGCTTAGCTTGCCAAAAGTGCAACGTAATAAGACACACCAAAAGCCCACTTGGCACCTTTCTTCTCCCTGACGCTCGTTTAGAACACATCCACACAGATTGGGTTGGATCCCTTCCGAAATCCCATGGATATACTTGTATTTTAACCTGCATCGATCGATTCACACGATGGCCTGAAGCAGTACCTCTCAAGCACGTATCTGCTGAAACAGTCGCACGCGTCTTCGTAGAAAGATGGATCGCTAACTTTGGATGCCCATCTTCAATGACAACTGATCGCGGGCGGCAATTCGAAAGTGGCTTATTCTTCACCCTGGCTAAAATCATAGGTCGTATGCGTTTTCAAACAACAGCCTACCATCCTCAAGCTAATGGTATGGTAGAACGTTTACACAGACAGTTGAAAGCTGGTTTTTCAGCTGCAAACAATGCACATTGGATTGAATCCCTTCCGCTAGTTCTCCTAGGGATACGAAACGCCTTGAAAACCGATGCTAGTATGTGGCACGACACTATGACTGCCTGGTGAATTCGCTTCTCCCTCGAGCTTCCCACCAATGGTAGATCACGCGTCATACGTCAGCAGACTCACAAACGCAGTGCGTTCAGTTAAACCCGCTCCCCTTCGTCCACCCTTGTTTAAAAACTTCACATGTATTCGTCCGTCGTGACTCTGTTCGTCGACCTCTGGAACCCCCGTACGATGAACCCTATAAAGTAATTAGACATATGGATAAATTGTTTGTCTTAGGCAAAAAGGGCCGCGAAGACACCGTCAGCATCGACCGTCTGAAACCGGCTTACTTGGAGGGTAATCTTATTAGCCTAGAGCTGAGCGTATCCGACGATCCACATGTAATCGGATATCCTTTAGTCCTCGAAGAAGTCACTAGCATGGCGAGAGCCACCGAAGCTTCTGTCGAGCCCTCAAAGAAAACGCGTTCTGGACGTACCGTCAGATTCCCAGAATATCTCCACACCTATATCACATAACTAAGTGGTGCGATTCACCCAACTCATTCGTTTGTGATATTAATTATTTTTTTCTTTTCAGACACATCAATTTTTTATATAGCATCACTCAACACAAATAAAAAATTTTTCTTCAACAGTATATGTTACATGCATAAAAATTATATGTATACTTTTTCGATGTTCTAAACTTTGCATTATTTTACGGTATGATAGATGAACATCATTTTTTAAAACGCTGATTTGGTGCATTATCCTCAACAAGGTTCCTAGCATTCTTGTTTTCTTTTCCGGGTGTGACGGGAACTGAACAAGAAACAAATGAAGCACAACATCCAAGGAACACGATCAAGGAAGCGACGAACAAACACCCTATTAGCGTAGGCAGACAGACCAGTGGGAACGCCACCAAGCGCTCGGAAGATTTTCTTTCACCCATAAGGGAACCTGTCATTGGACGTGAACACTGAACGTTCGTTTTCGAACTGGTAGCCACTGGTGGGCAACTCGAAGGCGCGAAGAGTTCGATTGTGTACAAGTTCGACGAAGACGACCAAAAAAGAATAAAAGTACTTCATAATTTTGTCTAAAATATTTGTTCGTAGACTTGTATTATTCTGCACTTTAATTGCAAAACAATATAGCTTCCTTCTTACAGTACTGGTGTTTTGGAATTAAAGTCTAAGAAAGTACATAGTTTTTATCGGTTCTTGGCGTCTTCGTAGCAATAGGAGCTGAGGCTTAAGTTCCTTGACAGTTTCTATTCATCTGTTTGTTTTCTAAAGCGCCTTCTGGAACTCTCCCGGGTGTACTCACTGGGTCTGCAGCCAGCATCTCTCTGGACACGGATTATCAACGCAATTTGGATCCTTTGGTGACGTTGGATAATGCCTGGGTCAGGGAAGGGACGTGGCACCATGGAAGCAGACGAAAAAGTAAGTAACGATGAGTTGCCTGTTAATTGTAATGATATGCATGATGCTCAGCATGGTCAGTCTGATGTTCACGCTTCGCTGTTTGGGGATAGTGAGGGTTTAAAACTACCTAAGTTTGAACCCCAGTACTCCGATGGAAACCCAGCCGACTACCCACAGTTTATCAAGGAGTTTGAGGTCATGCTGAGTGGTTTTGTTTTAAACGACAAAATGAGGTTAATGTATTTGTTGAGGTACTGCACTGGTGTTGCTGCAAGAGCTATACAGTGCTGTAAGGTTATGCCCCCAAAGGAAGGATATACTGAGGCGATTTGTATCCTACGTCAGAGGTTTGGAAAACCATTTATGATATCCCGTAGGATTTCTGAGAAAGGTAATGGATCACAGTTAAAAGATAATTCAGAGGAACTCACAGAGTTCTTGGACAGTTTAATGGTATATAGGAATACTCTTGTGTCTGTTAAGTGCGCAGATGAATTGAATTCAAGTTCCTGGCTTGAGACTGTTGCCAAAAGATTACCTATTCGTCTACAAAGGAAATTCATAAAGGTCTGTTCACGTCTAGAAGAGGAGGGCTTAGAGCCTTGGTTGGATGTGAGCCTGGTGAAAGACAGTATCAACCAAGCTTTGAAAGAGTTTGCCGGTATGCTGCATCCCACTCCTGGAATAGGGAAATCAGAGAGCAAAACGCAATCATTTATGACGAAAGGGTCTCAGAGAAGCGGATATCGAGAAAGGTGTATAGTGTCTAGTAATCCATACAAACTTAATGAGTGCGGCAGCTTTCGTGGGACATCCTCAACAGATAGGTTACAAGTTGCGAGACAAACACGGTTGTGTTTTACACGTTTACAAGAAGTGCATACGACGGCAAACTGTGAGGCAGTGAGCAAGTTTAGTAGTAAGCTAAATGCGAAGTCAGTGTCGTGTGACGATAATGGTGCAGTAAAGAGGCCTGTAGTTGCAACTGGTGAGCCATTGTTGGACACAGTGTCACAAACGACACCGCAGTTTGTGCAGGAGAAGAGAGTTACAGTTCCAGAGTCCAGTTCTGACTCCACAAGTTTACAAGGTATTACTAGTCAGAGTGGAGGCATAAAACCTTTAAGGATTTGTGAATAGAAACCCAAATCATCTACTGCTATTGTCAAAGAGTTTGAAAATGACGAAGTCGGCCAGGTAGACGACAGTAAAGTGAATATTTGTGATAGTGATCATGATAGTTGATCATGATGAGATGAGGGGAATGCCTACTACTGCTGAGTTGAACAAGGTTTCTGTACAAGTTGAATGTAAAGTAGAGTTGAAGCAGATGCGGTTGAAGAAGGTATGGATACTCATCAGACCGTCAGGGTGAATGATCAGTACGTAGCCCACGTGTCGACAGATGTTGAAGATAAACTGCAGCTAGTCATAAAAGATAGCAGTGGCGGTAATCTTACGGTAAGACAGCCTTCTAAAGGTCAAAAAACAACAGCTTCTGGTGCACCGATAAGTTCATCAACTGGTATCAGTCAGTCGTCGTTGGTGCTGTCACACCAATGAAGGTGACGTCCATGAGTCTTATGCTATGATTATGCCGGTATCAGTCCGTTTGAAAAGAGGAAAGATATTGGCCAGTTTAGTAAGGATAAGCCAAGTGTGTGCGAGAGGATAATTGTTAAATTGACTTGCATGAATAAAGGCATTTCAAGCTTCAAATTACTATCTGAATGTTATTATCTTTGGTGTCAATTACTCCGTGCCCACGCTTGGTTGATCAGATACGCCGTATGTTTGTTAGTCATCTATATTATACGATACAATGACATGAGCGTGTTACCATTCAAAGTTTAGGATAAAGGTGATGGAAGAAGGCCAGCAAATGGACTCTGCGACGATTTTCCAACTTAGGGCGTTGTCAATGTAGTTGAAGATTGAACGATCAATTCATGGTTGTTTGCTCAAAACCAACTTCCCCAATTTTCGCGGAGACATCAATACGACAGTCATCGTCTCATCGGTCGCTGTTCAGAAAGAAGTCAGCAATAAACCGTCAGAAGCAATATTGTGATTTATTATTGTAATATTTGTTCACAGACCTTAGCTATAACAATATTTATATGTTGGTGTAACAATAAAGAATCCTCGAGTCAACAACTGGTGTTTTGGTTTTTTCGTCCGTTATTACTAAGCGTTTCTGAGAAACTTCAAGCGACAGCGTGGGCCCGAGCGTAGCAAGAGCTGGGCATTAACGGTTTAAGAGACGTGACTGACAGGCGTCAACCTGAGAAGGATTGTAGGCGTACTGCTGTAAGTCCTACAATTCTTCAAAGGGTAGCGCATCAATGAGCAGCACAACGTGCTTGGTGTGTGATTTTGTTCATATGTTCACCTTGTATATACTGAATCGGTATCATCTTTCATCTGTTTGTTAGTTGATTTTGTATGTGTTCGAACCTTTTTCCTCATAGATCGTCAGCCTGAGGAGGAATGCAGGCGTACTGCTGTAAGTCCTACAGCTCTTCAAGGGTAGCTCGTCGAAGCGGAATCCAAAACAATTGATATATCGATTGGACATACATTTGTTGTCAGCGGAGGTGAACATGGATTTTTTTCCACTTCCGGCTGGTTTTCTGGCCAGGTCGGAACAGCCTAAAGTACGTAGTAAGAGAGTTCAACTTTACTGCTAGTTCTCCAAGAAGATGTGGTGTCAGCTACCTCCTTTGAGAAGCAGAAAAATTTACTAGAATTGGACTAACATGGGCTTCAGGCCTTCTATCTTCAATCAACAAATCTGAATCTAATTAGGGCATTTACTTTCGGCTATCATGGGCCAAACGTCATACCTGAGTAAATCATTCCGCGTTGTTACAGTTGCCCGCAAACACTGAGGACTGTGATAATTTACTACGCAACGTCACCGATATGCGACACTGCTCCAAAGAAATAAACACTTAACGGAAATCAGCACAAGCTGTTTTATTGCATCAGAAACGTGTGCGCTCTGTGGAGCTTCAATTTGTAAATCATTGTAAGTTAGGCAGCTTTCCAGTGTTTAAACTATGCCTGACTAATTTCAGGTTGATTAAATGGTGTGCAGGGATTGTTTGATGAAACAGATGACCAATAAGGAAACCCCTCCCCTCTCCCCTAATAGTAATGTGATTGGTTGTGAATAAAATAAAATATAAGTATATTACAATAGTTTAATTAAAACACAAAACAGTACCAACAGTTTGTGTGATCACCGGCAGTAATTTTTTTGAAATACTGCCCAAAACTAAAAAAATTATCAATGTGTGTTAGCTGTTGAAACGCAATTATAATTTATATGATCTATTCCACAATGCTCAAACAACCAGTGAAAATTTAATGGTTCACAGCTAGCATTCTTTTCGGGCGAATTGCAGACATTTTGGGGAAAACCTAGGGCGCATTCCAGAATTTTGGCTGACTTAGAGCGCATTGAAGACATTTTGGGGCAGACTTAGGGCACATTGCAGATTCCGAGGAAAACTTAGGGCGCATTGCAGACTTTTCGGGGCAACCTGATGAGCGGTTATTGGCTACAAATCAACCAATGGGAGTAACCCTGATGTACTTCCTCAACCAATGACAGTTAACTTTTGAGAACTGCGTTACAATGAATCTTAATTAGTGATTAATAATACATCATTTAAAATAACAAACTCTTTTAATATAAACAATCAATTAAATGTACTTTTACTATCTGAATACATCACCAAAGGCCCCTCCCTGAGAAGTCTTTTACTGCACTGAAATCCTTCGAACCGGCGGAATCCACCATTTTTATTTCCATTACTGTGAGTTGTCGGCCTGTTTGTCAACCTTCTTTTTTACGAAGTTTTCCAAGTAATTACTTGCGTAGTTATACGTTTTATATTGCAGCTATAACAGTACTGGCCATTTTTATTATTAGGCATAGCGTATAAGTTGTGTAGACTGCAGGAATCCGTTTTTTAACCGTTTTTCCGATATCTTCCAGGTAACATGAGCTCTAACAGTTCTCCGTCAAGCATCACTAATACACTAAATGACAGCAGACCACCAGCTAATGTCGAACCATACCGCCGGAAGAATTCTAGACTACGTAAGTTTATTAATCAATCTTCTTTGACGATGCAGCGCTAGTCAATTTTGACTTAAGACGATATAAGTCAACATTCTATCGGCGTCTAAAAAAGTACAATCTGGATTGGAAGAAGCGTGTAGAAGGTAAGCTTGTCCTTTCATATTAATGTACACAGAATCATATGCGAAAATTCTTGAAAGTGAACCACAACCTGAAACAATGGCAGGAAACATGGTTACTCCCCAACAAATTATCGTTCCAGTTGATGTTCCTTGTAATAGCATGGCACCTCCACCGTCATTTGATGAATATTTACCGAATGAACAACTGTCTGCAACAGAGGAAGCTGACCAAACCGAGTGCACTCCAGTGGATTCTGTTCGCAACGTCGTCTACAGATGCAAGCTGAATATGACTACTACTCGTATTTTGCTGGAAGAATTAAGGCCCCATCTTCGTGAACTGCCGACTGACCCTCGGACATTGATGAGGACTAAAGACTTTTTTGAAAGGAGAGCAGTTGGTCCTGGAATATATGTTCACATTGGTCTTCGTCGTCAGATTTTATCTCGGTTACAAATTGTCAAATGTGAAGTCTCTGTGCCAATTGCTCTTCAGCTGAACATTGATGGTGCCCCAATTTTCAACAACTCCAAATTACAGATGTGGCCAATACAAGGGAAGTTACTTTTGTCGGGCTGTGACAAGGTATTCTTGGTAGGAGTCTACTGTGGTTCGTGTAAACCTTTAAGTATACACAGTTTTTTGAGGGACACTATCATCGAATTAGAAAACATTTGTGCCAATGGTGTCACATTACCCAACAATCATCGCATAGACATTGTACTTAAGGCCGTCATCTGTGACACACCAGCAAGAGCACTAGTTAAGCAAATAAGTGGTCACAATTCAACACAAGGATGCGATAAATGTGAGGCTTTATGCCGTCGTGCTAATCATCGCATGGTTTTTCCTACTACATGTGCTGCTTTAAGAACAGACATGTCTTTTCGCAACCAAACTTTGCCATGTCACCATAAGGGTAAATCTCCTTTCGAGAGATTGCATGTAGACATGATCACTGTTTTCCCCATAGATAGCATGCATCTCATATACTTAGGTGTAGTTCGAAAGTTGATTGGCCTGTGGAAATCGATGGCCACATCTAGGGCAGATGGCATGCATACTACGATATTGAACACTGTTAACTGCAGACTACTCGGCTCACACAAGTTGACTCCTTTTGAATTCCAGCGTAAGTGTCGAACATTAGACGACGTTGACCATTGGAAAGCAACGGAGTGTAGGCTTTTTCTTTTATATTTAGGAGTGGTATACCTTAAAGACGTATTACCACCTTGCTTTTATGAGAACTTCTTCGATTTATTCTTGTCATGTTACATCTTAAGTCACCCGGCTTATTCTTCCTATTACCTAGATGACGTGAAGGGTTTATTATTGAAATTCGTTGGGAACTTTAGGTCATTATTTGGGGAGGAAAACATGGTATACAATATCCATGGATTACTTCATATTTGTGAGGACGTGAAACAGCACGGACCACTGGACACTTTCTCATGTTTCCCATTTGAATCCAACATGCGTTTTCTCCAGACTCTAGTCAAAGGTCCCAATAACCCAGCAGTTCAGATAGGTAAACGCATGGTTAGTCGAAGCTGATTCTGCAAAATCAGAGATAACTCCTAATGTATCTGTAAATGTGTCTAAGCAGACTGCTACGTTTTCCAACTTTAGAATAAGCTCATATCCTCCTGACAATTGCTTTGTGGTAGGCAATACACCAGGAGTGGTTTCAGAAATTGTATGCGGAAATCAGTTTCGATTCCGAGCTTATAAGAATCCAAAGAGCTTTTTTAAAAACCCACTAGATTCGAGGGATATTGGGATATATCAGGTAGATAACTTTGAGGGTGACACAAGTTTACGGGCTTTCAGTGAAATTCGGGCGAAGTGCATTGGCTTAAGTCTTTTGCATAACTCCGTTATAATTTCCATATTGCACACCTCTAAATTGTCGTGACTTAAAGAGTACTACAGTTTACAGTGAGCCACAGTTGACCGATATCAAGGATACAAACAAATTGTATTAACTTATGCAAACTGTGTTCACTATCGTTATTCCATTCTCCTCCATTGTATACATACATATATCTTGTTTCAGTGAAAACTTTTAAACATGCATACTCCATGTGTACATTGTTTTCAGACTGATAATGCCTGTCAACTGCCATGTGCATTAAAAGACAGTATATTATCATAAGATTCTTTTTATTGTTATATTAGGGAATTGACTTCAAGCTTTATTTATTTTCCCAAGTATCCGTAATCCCTCCAACGAATGCTTGGGTTTTTTTTGTTAATGCGAAGTCAATATCCCTATATCTCCTGATGTGGTCTATTGAATCAGTAGTTATCATATTTTTACCACAAACTAAAGAAAAAATGACAGCAGCCGTAAATCATGTAATTTAAACAATTGGTGTTTCCTACATAGCTAGGAAAAAATGTGTACCTTATTATATATACTATTATTATATGTGTTATTATTGTATATATTATTATTAATATTAAATGGTGAGTTTACTTTTGCATTCATCTGCCTTCATTATAATATGCACACTTATCAATATACGTATTGCAAGACTTCCCTTCTTCCAGTGTACCTATTTTCCTATCTAATAGTCGTACATTATTTGCAGATGATTAAGCAGCTCCTGTTAGTCCAGTTACCTGTCCTGAATTGAATAAGATGTTGGTGGTTAGCGAGGTGGCGGTGGCTGGTGAATACTTGCTCCTGCCTCGGTCGTATTCATCTGCTGATGCCATTGCACATGCAGAGGTAGTTCAGGGTTCAAGTCCGACGGCCTAAAAGTACACCCTTATGGACGCTTCAGTAACGTCAAGTCTTTTATAATGTTCTTTTTCAGATGATTTTGACCAAGTATTTGCATTGAAGACAGCAATTGAAGGTGTGCAAGGGACAACGGGTGACTCGTCATCTGAGAACACGGAGCCTGCAAGCCAATGCAGGGTAAACCGGTAAGCTATTATTCTTGACTCATTTTCCCAGTGTTTCAAAGCCGCTAAGAAAACTTTTGGAGAATGCTGCTCCGTTGAACTACACTTCTCGGTTGTTGGCTGATCCAGATTTTCAGTTGGAGACACCTCCTTTCCGAAAGCCACCCATTGTGGACAAAAATGAAAGGTATATTAAAGTTAACTTGAAAATTTCATTTCAGCTTGTCGTCTGTCCCTTCCACATCAAATGCCAACATTCCCTTTCCTGTGGACATGTAAGTTCAATTTAATTTAAAAATATTACTTGCAGGTGCCCAAGCACTGACGAGACAGGTACTTGTACATCTGGTTGTTGGAAAGAGATAAGGGCTTTACGTTCCTTCCAGGCACGAACGGGGTCACGTCTCTCTGAGCTTGAGGCTAAACTCTCGCGAGTCAACGTTGTCGACAGCATTGACAATAACCAACGGAGGTTCGCACGTCCCCGTCAACCAAACTAGATAGATCCGCCGACACATCATGGCGATATTCGTCTTGGGACAGTTTTGCCTCAAACGATGACATGATGGCGTCGCTGTCTAACTGCCATCTGCCAGAACTCTTTAAAGTTTGAACGGAATTGACACACGAGATATTATTGTTAACGTTGTCGACAGCATTGACAATAATATCTCGTGTGTCAATTCCGTTCAAACTTTAAAGAGTTCTGGCAGATGGCAGTTAGACAGCGACGCCATCATGTCATCGTTTGAGGCAAAACTGTCCCAAGACGAATATCGCCATGATGTGTCGGCGGATCTATCTAGTTTGGTTGACGAGTCACCCGTTGTCCCTTGCACACCTTCAATTGCTGTCTTCAATGCAAATACTTGGTCAAAATCATCTGAAAAAGAACATTATAAAAGACTTGACGTTACTGAAGCGTCCCATAAGGGTGTACTTTTAGGCCGTCGGACTTGAACCCTGAACTACCTCTGCATGTGCAATGGCATCAGCAGATGAATACGACCGAGGCAGGAGCAAGTATTCACCAGCCACCGCCACCTCGCTAACCACCAACATCTTATTCAATTCAGGACAGGTAACTGGACTAACAGGAGCTGCTTAATCATCTGCAAATAATGTACGACTATTAGATAGGAAAATAGGTACACTGGAAGAAGGGAAGTCTTGCAATACGTATATTGATAAGTGTGCATATTATAATGAAGGCAGATGAATGCAAAAGTAAACTCACCATTTAATATTAATAATAATATATACAATAATAACACATATAATAATAGTATATATAATAAGGTACACATTTTTTCCTAGCTATGTAGGAAACACCAATTGTTTAAATTACATGATTTACGGCTGCTGTCATTTTTTCTTTAGTTTGTGGTAAAAATATGATAACTACTGATTCAATAGACCACATCAGGAGATATAGGGATATTGACTTCGCATTAACAAAAAAAACCCAAGCATTCGTTGGAGGGATTACGGATACTTGGGAAAATAAATAAAGCTTGAAGTCAATTCCCTAATATAACAATAAAAAGAATCTTATGATAATATACTGTCTTTTAATGCACATGGCAGTTGACAGGCATTATCAGTCTGAAAACAATGTACACATGGAGTATGCATGTTTAAAAGTTTTCACTGAAACAAGATATATGTATGTATACAATGGAGGAGAATGGAATAACGATAGTGAACACAGTTTGCATAAGTTAATACAATTTGTTTGTATCCTTGATATCGGTCAACTGTCGCTCACTGTAAACTGTAGTACTCTTTAAGTCACGACAATTTAGAGGTGTGCAATATGGAAATTATAACGGAGTTATGCAAAAGACTTAAGCCAATGCACTTCGCCCGAATTTCACTGAAAGCCCGTAAACTTGTGTCACCCTCAAAGTTATCTACCTGATATATCCCAATATCCCTCGAATCTAGTGGGTTTTTTAAAAAGCTCTTTGGATTCTTATAAGCTCGGAATCGAAACTGATTTCCGCATACAATTTCTGAAACCACTCCTGGTGTATTGCCTACCACAAAGCAATTGTCAGGAGGATATGAGCTTATTCTAAAGTTGGAAAACGTAGCAGTCTGCTTAGACACATTTACAGATACATTAGGTGTTATCTCTGATTTTGCAGAATCAGCTTCGACTAACCATGCGTTTACCTATCTGAACTGCTGGGTTATTGGGACCTTTGACTAGAATCTGGAGAAAACGCATGTTGGATTCAAATGGGAAACATGAGAAAGTGTCCAGTGGTCCGTGCTGTTTCACGTCCTCACAAATATGAAGTAATCCATGGATATTATATACCATGTTTTCCTCCCCAAATAATGACCTAAAGTTCCCAACGAATTTCAATAATAAACCCTTCACGTCATCTAGGTAATAGGAAGAATAAGCCGGGTGACTTAAGATGTAACATGACAAGAATAAATCGAAGAAGTTCTCATAAAAGCAAGGTGGTAATACGTCTTTAAGGTATACCACTCCTAAATATAAAAGAAAAAGCCTACACTCCGTTGCTTTCCAATGGTCAACGTCGTCTAATGTTCGACACTTACGCTGGAATTCAAAAGGAGTCAACTTGTGTGAGCCGAGTAGTCTGCAGTTAACAGTGTTCAATATCGTAGTATGCATGCCATCTGCCCTAGATGTGGCCATCGATTTCCACAGGCCAATCAACTTTCGAACTACACCTAAGTATATGAGATGCATGCTATCTATGGGGAAAACAGTGATCATGTCTACATGCAATCTCTCGAAAGGAGATTTACCCTTATGGTGACATGGCAAAGTTTGGTTGCGAAAAGACATGTCTGTTCTTAAAGCAGCACATGTAGTAGGAAAAACCATGCGATGATTAGCACGACGGCATAAAGCCTCACATTTATCGCATCCTTGTGTTGAATTGTGACCACTTATTTGCTTAACTAGTGCTCTTGCTGGTGTGTCACAGATGACGGCCTTAAGTACAATGTCTATGCGATGATTGTTGGGTAATGTGACACCATTGGCACAAATGTTTTCTAATTCGATGATAGTGTCCCTCAAAAAACTGTGTATACTTAAAGGTTTACACGAACCACAGTAGACTCCTACCAAGAATACCTTGTCACAGCCCGACAAAAGTAACTTCCCTTGTATTGGCCACATCTGTAATTTGGAGTTGTTGAAAATTGGGGCACCATCAATGTTCAGCTGAAGAGCAATTGGCACAGAGACTTCACATTTGACAATTTGTAACCGAGATAAAATCTGACGACGAAGACCAATGTGAACATATATTCCAGGACCAACTGCTCTCCTTTCAAAAAAGTCTTTAGTCCTCATCAATGTCCGAGGGTCAGTCGGCAGTTCACGAAGATGGGGCCTTAATTCTTCCAGCAAAATACGAGTAGTAGTCATATTCAGCTTGCATCTGTAGACGACGTTGCGAACAGAATCCACTGGAGTGCACTCGGTTTGGTCAGCTTCCTCTGTTGCAGACAGTTGTTCATTCGGTAAATATTCATCCAATGACGGTGGAGGTGCCATGCTATTACAAGGAACATCAACTGGAACGATAATTTGTTGGGGAGTAACCATGTTTCCTGCCATTGTTTCAGGTTGTGGTTCACTTTCAAGAATTTTCGCATGTGATTCTGTGTACATTAATATGAAAGGACAAGCTTACCTTCTACACGCTTCTTCCAATCCAGATTGTACTTTTTTAGACGCCGATAGAATGTTGACTTATATCGTCTTAAGTCAAAATTGACTAGCGCTGCATCGTCAAAGAAGATTGATTAATAAACTTACGTAGTCTAGAATTCTTCCGGCGGTATGGTTCGACATTAGCTGGTGGTCTGCTGTCATTTAGTGTATTAGTGATGCTTGACGGAGAACTGTTCGAGCTTATGTTACCTGGAAGATATCGGAAAAACGGTTAAAAAACGGATTCCTGCAGTCTACACAACTTATACGCTATGCATAATAATAAAAATGGCCAGTACTGTTATAGCTGCAATATAAAACGTATAACTACGCAAGTAATTACTTGGAAAACTTCGTAAAAAATAAGGTTGACAAACAGGCCGACAACTCACAGTAATGGAAATAAAAATGGTGGATTCCGCCGGTTCGAGGGATTTCAGTGCAGTAAAGGACTTCTCAGGGAGGGGCCTTTGGTGATGTATTCAGATAGTAAAAGTACATTTAATTGGTTGTTTATATTAAAAGAGTTTGTTATTTTAAATGATGTATTATTAATCACTAATTAAGATTCATTGTAACGCAGTTCTCAAAAGTTAACTGTCATTGGTTGAGGAAGTACATCAGGGTTACTCCCATTGGTTGATTTGTAGCCAATAACCGCTCATCAGGTTGCCCCGAAAAGTCTGCAATGCGCCCTAAGTTTTCCTCGGAATCTGCAATGTGCCCTAAGTCTGCCCCAAAATGTCTTCAATGCGCTCTAAGTCAGCCAAAATTCTGGAATGCGCCCTAGGTTTTCCCCA